GCGCGGGCCCCCCCCCCCCCCCCCCCCCCCCATCGAGCGGCGGGCGCGGGCCCGCCGCTTCTTGCGCCGGGAGTTTGGGGCCTGCGGCACCCCCCGCGTGGCCTGGCAGATCGACCCCTTCGGGCACTCCCGCCAGCTGGCCGCCATCTTCGCCCAGGTGGGAGCCCCCTCCTCTGCCGTGCCCCCACGGGGGACCCCGGCGTCTGGGCTGACCCCCTCCTCCCCACAGATGGGCTACGACGGGCTGTTCGTGGGGCGCGTGGACCACCAGGACAAGGCAACGCGGGAGGAGCTGCGGGAGATGGAGCTGCTCTGGCGGGCGAGCGGGAACCTGCCACCCCCCGCTGCCGACCTCTTCACCGGTGGGACAGCGACGGGGCCCTTCCCGGGGGTGGGGGTCCCTCAGGTCCCCCCCGAGCCCTTTCGGGGGGCTGGCCCTGTCCTGGGGTGCCTCGCTGGGTGTTGCCTATCCCTTGAGCCCTCCCCTGTCCCCTTCCTCTCCCCTCCTGAGGGTGACCTGTCCCCTCAGTCCCTTCCCAGGTCCGCTGTCCCCTCCTGGGGCTGTCACCATCCTCTGGGATTTTTTCTTGTCTCTAGGGCTGACCCCATTTTCCATCTGGCTGATCCCAACCTTGTCCCTAGCCCAGCTCTCCTGTCCCTGTTTGCGTCCCCATCCCCGGGGCTGGCCCCAACCCTGTCCCCAGCCCGGGCTGACCAGGGGGGTGACTGTCCCCAGGCATCCTCCCCAACGTCTACAACCCCCCGTCGGGGTTCTGCTGGGACCAGCTCTGCTCCGACCCCCCCGTGGTGGACGAGGACAGCGAGGAGAACAACGTGGACAGCATCGTCTCCGCCTTCCTGCGGATCGCTGCCAGCCAGGTGGGTGCTCCCTGGGGTGGGTGGGGGGTCCTGGACGCCAGGCTTTCCCCCCGGGACGGGGTTGCTGACTTGTCCCACACGCCCAGGCCGAGCGCTACCGCACCAACCACATCATCATGACGATGGGCTCCGACTTCCACTACGAGAATGCCAACCTGTGGTTCAAGAACATGGACAAGCTCATTGCCCACGTCAACGCCCGGGTGAGCGGGGTCCCCTCTGTGTGCCCCGTTGTCTGCTCTCCGTCCCCCCCAGCCCCGTCTCACCCCCTCCCTGGCTTTTCCAGCAAGCCAACGGCAGCCGCGTCCATGTCCTCTACTCCACCCCGTCCTGCTACCTCTGGGAGCTGTACCAGGCCAACCTGTCCTGGTGAGGCCGGGGGAGCGAGGGGGATCCCAGGCATCTGGGAAGGACGGACAGACAGACGGATGCAGCCTGGCTTTCCCACAGGTCCCTGAAGACAGATGACTTCTTCCCCTACGCAGATGGCCCCCACCAGTTCTGGACGGGCTATTTCACCAGCCGACCCGCCTTCAAGCGCTATGAGCGCCTCAGCAACAACTTTCTCCAGGTGGGACGGCGGCCCGGACGCCGGGGTCCCCTCTCCTGGACGCTGGGGTCCCCCTCCCTGACCCTCACTTCCCTCCTGGCAGATCTGCAGCCAGCTGGAGGCTTTGGCAGGGCCAGTGGCGCGGGAGGGTCCCTACGGGCCCGGGAACAGCTCTGTGCTCCGTAAGTGCCAGCGCGGGGCCCCCGGGGACCCCCCCGGACACCCCTGATGCCCCTTTGCCCCCCCGGCAGGCGAAGCCGTGGCCGTGGCCCAGCACCACGATGCCGTGACCGGCACTGAGAAGCAGCACGTGGCCGACGACTATGCCAGGCAGCTGGCGGTGGGGTGGGAGAGCTGCCAGGTAGGGCCCCGCTGCCCGTTTTGGGGGGGAAAGACGGGGTTTTGGGGGTGCAGGGCCAGGGCCAGCAGCTGAGGGTGAACTGGCATCACATCCATATGGCAAACTGGTGTCTGGGTGGGGTGAACTAGTGTCTGGGGGGACAGGAGCTGGTGGCCTTTTTGGGGAAAAGCCCCTGGCCCTGGCCAGCGTTTTGGGTGCAAGCTGGGGTCTGGGTGGCCAGAGGATGGGAAGTGGTGGCCATGGCCTGGGCGGGGGGATGAGCTCGTGAGCGCCCCTTGTTACCAGCCACGCCGCATAACTGTCCCCCACTCCCGGCAGCTCCTGGTCGCCAACGCCCTGGCCAGCCTCAGCGGCAGCAAGGAGAACTTCATTTTCTGCAACGCTCTCAACATCAGCGTCTGTCCCCTGACGGAGGCAGCCGGCCGCGTGAGCACCTCGGCAGGGGGCTGGAGGGGGGCTGTGGGGTCCCGGCGGGGCTAATGCACCACGTCCCTCTGTCCCCTAGTTCACCGTCATCCTCTACAACCCCCTGGGCCGCCGTGTGTCCTGGCCCATCCGGCTGCCGGCCAACGGGCCGTTCTATGCGGTGACG